ATGAACGAGCCATTGTCAGTTGTGCAAGGAGGGTATGGTTCAGGTAAAACAGCTCCAGGAAGATGCTCTAAATTCACAAACCCTAATTGCATCGCCGGAGATGGAGCCACCGAGCCTTATATTGTCGGTCATAACCTCATCCTTTGTCATGGAGCTGCCGTAGAAGTCTACAGAGAAAAATACAATGTGAGTTAAAAAACAAGGTTCATAACCAAAACCGACTTCATAACCATTATTAGTGAAAAATAATCCGAATCATCTAGTCTTTTTATATTATTTATCTGCGGAGAATGGTAAATTTTCTCTTGAATGTCGTTCAAACAGGCATCTCAAAAAGGTCAAGTTGGTATTGCTTTGAACACGGCTTGGAAATTGCCATATACCGAAGAATCAGCGGAAGATAAGTTAGCTGTGGCACGAGTCCTTGCTTTCTCATTTGACTACTTTATGGAGCCACTTGTGACCGGTCAATACCCACTCGACATGATTAACAACGTAAAAGGTCGTTTGCCTACATTCACTGAACAACAATCTAAGATGCTTAGGGGCTCATATGATTTCATTGGGATCAATTATTACTCCTCCGCTTACGTAATGGATATCCCCTGCTCCACCGAACATGTTACAATGTTCTCTGATCCTTGTGCCAACACGACAGGTCGGTTTTTCGTATCATCCAGGTTACTTTTTATCATTTTAGCAAAAAAAATAGTCGAAACTTAACGAACCCAAAACTATGTTAACAGTTGTAAGAAATGGAGTTCCCATCGGTCCAAAGGTACGTGTATAGACTAATCTCATAAAACATTGCAATTTTGGTTATAATTACACGGTCAAGTTTACTACTCTCATGAAACCTTGTATGTGTGGTGTAAATTTTTATAGGCTGCATCAGATTGGCTTTCGATATATCCAAAGGGAATTCGTGATCTTATTCTTTATACAAAATATAAGTTCAAAGACCCGGTCATCTACATAACCGAAAACGGTAATTTATAAATTCATGAGCCTTACTTGATTGATCATTGATATATATACTTTGAAAATTAGCTATCTTTGATATAATTTGTAGGGAGAGATGAACTCCGTGAAGATGTTTCTCCGGACGGAAATAGAATCGATTATTACACTCAACATCTTGAGATGGTTAAGGACGCGATCTCGTAAGCATTTTTTTTTGTCTCTAATGTTAAGAATTCTACTTCCCACGTTACAAATACCAAATATAATTTTTATTTTTGGATAAGTGGAGATAAACAAACATATAACATTTATGTGACTGTATTGCAAATGCTTTTGTTAAATGATGAAACAGGGTTGGAGCTAAGGTGAAGGGATTTTTCGTATGGTCGTTGTTGGACAACTTTGAATGGAGCACGGGATACACCGTACGATTTGGGCTGGTTTACGTGGATTTCGACGATGGATGTAAGAGACGCCTGAAAAAATCGGCAAAGTGGTTCAAGAATTTCTTGAAATCAAAATAAGCAATTGATGGCAACTGTACCTTTCGTTTGGAAATGATAAGGAACATCCTAGTTTAAATATTTTATAATAAGGATTCTTAAGAATCTCTGATATTCATCTTTTGTCTTCCGCTTTTGAGTCTGTTGCTTTTCGTTTTTACCATCGTGAATCCTTAAGTTTTGAGGATGGGCTTGCAAAATAGGCTCTTAGGGGCCTTGTAATGTACTTGGGCTAACAACCCACTTAGGTAATGAATTTTCTTGTGAGCAAAAAAAAAAAGAATCCTAAGAATAGTGGTATGTATATCAATTATCCTCTCGATTTAAAACTTTTAGTTATTTATTTATAAAGTTGGGGTTTTTACGATATAATCATAACCTGATTGATTTTACTCCACCACAGAGTTTGTTCTTCTTTATAATCTCCTGGATTACAACGATGATCATTTGTGGTATTAACAGGTCTGGGTGTTAATGTATTATGAGTTGGATCATTTGGAAATTTTGGTTGTTCTCATGCATTATTAATAATAGCTTGAAGACATGATTGCGACAATATCCATGTACAAGCCCAAACAAGTGGCGTCCATATGCAGTATCCTAAATACATACATATTCACGATTTATTTTCGCAAAAAAGCACATAATTGCTATCCAAGTTAATAGTAGAAGAAGTTTTCAAGTATGGAGTTTTCTATATTAAATTAAGTTATTCATCTTTCAACAGTATTACAAAATACACAAAATATCATATACATAAGAAAACATAATAAATGATTTAGCAATAAAAACATGTTGACAACCTTTAGGTACACATATTGTAACAAATTATAATGGTTCGTAATTTTTTAATTTTAAAACATAGACCAAATATTTAACGATATATATTTCATTGTCCCTCTCCCCCCTATATACCCATACATATCAGATTACATCGTCAGTATTTTAGCGTTGATAGTATATATCAGTTTAACTTGAACCAATGCTTATTGTATTAAATTATATTATTAACTTCATAAATATAAATAAACTAGGTGTTTTGCCCGCACATGCGGGCATAATTTTCATACGATTTATGATTAATCTATATTTTATTAATTCAAACCAATATAATAAGTTATGATTTATGTTTTAAAATTAATTATAAATGACAACACTTACATAACAAAATATTTTAAATATATATTTTTCAAATGTGTTGCTTTAAATTTATTTTAATTATAAAATTTTTCTATCTTAATCTTTTATTTCTATAATAAAAATATATTTTTAAGATAACAATATAATACATAAGAAGTATCTTATTTACTCAAAATATAATTTTTAATACAAATTCGTTTCTATTTTATAATAATTTTATATGAAATTATTAAAAATATGAAAAATAATCAAAATTATCTAAATCATAGAGAAATTGCAAATCAGATAATTCACTTAAATTTTCTAATAGAAAATATATGTTCAAGGTAACAATCTAATACATAAGAATTATATTATTTTTTTTAAATCTAGTATTATTAGTATAGATTCGTTTTATTAATTAATAAATTATATATGAGACATTAAAATATGATAAATAAACAAAATAAAAAACCATGAAGAAGTTGATAAATCAGCCTTACCTTCTTTATATTTAACTATTAATATTTTAACTTAATTTTTAATTTCTATGATAAAAACATATATTTCAAAGATAACAATATAATACATAAGAATTATCTTATTTTCTAAAAGTATAATATTATTAATAGAAATTTGTTTTATTATATGATAAATTATTCATAAAATTATTAAAATATAACAAATAAGAAAAATTACAAAAAATCATAGAGAAGTTACAAATCAATCAGTAAATTCACTTAAATTTTATAATAGAAAAATATATTTTTAAGATAATAATTTAATACAAAATAGTTAACATATTTTCTAAGATATAATATTATTAATATAAATTCGTTTTTTCTAAAAAAGAAAATTATATATAAATATTTAAATAAGGTAAATAAATAAAATTACCTAAAATCAAGGAGAAGTTGACAACTAAGCAAATTTACTTCTTAAATAATGTTATAGATGTCCTTAGAATTTAGGATTTATAAATACCACCAGATATTAATTAAGTTGTTATACCAATAAAATTGAAAAGAAACAATATCTGGATATTTATCCCAAATAAGATAAATATATATATATATATATATATACACACGCATATCGGCATGAGATAATCTCCAAAATTTCTCTTGTTTAGCTGGATTGATTTTTTTATAAGCATTATATATTTTCACAAATGAACTCCAGTTCCCTTGGGATGCCATGAAAAACTCTAATGCCCAAAAAATAAAACCAAATCGACAGAAAAAGGGATTTGCACTTTTAATGAATATCGTTGTTCAACAAAAAAATTATTGGAGTTGACAAAAAAAAAAAAAAACAAAAAAATTATTGGATAGTACATGAACGGTCAGGGTTACATCAAAGTCCGTAAAAGGAAGCGTCAGCTTTTTGAACGTGAAAGTTGAAAGCGTTCCAGAGAGTTTTGAGTTTTCTCTACATGCAAGAGAATTTTCGACAGTACAGTGAACATAGTCAATATTAAGACCACATTCAGTCTCCACTTGTCAAACACAAACGCACATGCATAGGGTACACAGATATTTTGAATCAAGTAGTGATTCCGACCACATTCAAAGATGAAAATGAACAGAGGTCGAATTTGCGGGTACAAGAAGAAGGAAGCTCAAATTGAATTCTCTTCCTAATTTGATTATTATGACTTTTCTTATTGTAAGTAGCTATAGGGAATACATAACTATTTAATCCCAAAAGTCACTTTTGTTCTCAACTTTTTTCAAAATGCGTTCTCTTTTTTTTTTTACCAAAGAAAAAATGCGTTCTCTACAACCGTTTTAATCGCCGGAAAACGTTATACAGCCATAGAGCATATACAATTAAACGTTGTTCGACCAATTAACCGGTAAAAATAATAAAACTATATTTTCTATATTGAAGTGCAAATTTACATGTTTTGTTGCAGATCTGATATATATCAATTAAAACATATTTACATATTTAATTAAAACATATATCAATTAAAAATCTTAAAAATGAAGAACATATTTGAGGGTTACATGTCAAAGGTTAAAACAGAACATTTTCTAGTCATTTTAACTTCCAAAGGAAAATAGCATTGTTTAAAAATTCGTTCGTTAGGCGATAGTTAATGCGTATGAGATTATTGATTAAACGGGTGTCTATGCTGATCTTTTTTAAAAATGTTCTGTTTAGGTATGATTTGCGAAATGGCAAACTCTTAGACACCGATCGATTTTAAAAATTTTATTTTGTTTAGGTCTGATTTGCCAAATGACAAACTTCTAGACGCAGACCAATTTTTAGAACACTGAAAATAGTAAAAAAACAAAAAAAGATTAAATTCCCTTCAAACCGCCAAACTGCTCATTAATCAAGATTAGAGTAACCACTAGACCACAAATGGATAACTAAACATATGTAATATATAACCTTTAAGTAAAGCCCTAAAACTAATATCCGATTAATCTCTGATTATTAGATCTAGGGTTAGGTTTTACCCAATGCGTTAAGTTAGTGTAAGTCTAAAAAAGTGTTAATATATAAAGTTCATGATATATAATATATCTTTCCACGTAGACAAACGTTACGAGACTTAGCTCTATATATACGAGAGGAAACGGCTTAGTTTGCAACATCTACAAATCCCGACCTTGAAGAAATACATCTTTTTAAAATTCCAAAAGACAATAAAAATGAAGGTGCACTTGTTCATCCTCCTTTTGATAGTCTCATGGTTGTCCAGGAAGATTACTTCTCTTCCTCCTGAATCTAGAGTACTCGGTCGTCGTAGTTTTCCCGATAATTTTGTTTTTGGAACTGCTGCATCTGCTTTTCAGGTAATACTTCAGTTGGTACTATGAAAATTGCCAAAAAGAATTCCAGTTTCGATAACATAATTGGTTATGGACTTAATTATAATGGAATGACGTTGACAAATGATGCGAAGTCGAAGATCCTTACGTACTTGTATGTATTATTCGCTTTGATGTAGTAGTAAATATTCTACAAGTATCAAATTTAAAGTGATATAGGTAAGATGTCTTATAAATATATGTTGCAATTAGGATGACGACGTTGATTTTATTCTTCACCTTTTGTACGTCACAATGAATAATAAACTGACAAATGATAGAGTTTCTAATTTTGGGTTCTCTATAATTTTTAATTTACATCTTTTTGCGGCAACTGTGTCTAAGCTGGTCCATTTGTCTATTAATGTAGTATGAAGGTGCCACAAGTGAAGGTGGAAAATCGCCAAGTATATGGGATTACTTCAGCCACACTTTTCCAGGTTCTTTCTACTTCTATTTATTTATATATCTAGCAATGTGTATATATAACACTATTATATAGATGTATAATGGTTTGTAAATTTTTCAAACGCAGAAAGAACAAATATGCAGAATGGAGATGTAGCGGTCGATTTTTACCATCGTTATAAGGTAATACAGCCTCAGCCTTGTATGCCAAACGATATTTTGTTTCTTTGTTATTCAAGGTCGATAAAGTTTATTTCTTTGTGTGTTTATTATGGACCCATTATTTTATTTTACTAATTATCGAAATGAACAAAATTATATAAACCAGGATGACATCAAGTTGATGAAAGAGCTTAATATGGACGCTTTCAGATTTTCAATTTCGTGGGCCAGATTGATACCCAGTAAGTATATTTACATTGTTTTACTTCAAATTACAATTAATATCTTAAAGCAAAAAAAAAATTGATGGATTTTCTTATTTTTGATATTACTTTATAGGTGGGAAGGTAAAAGATGGAGTAAACAAAGAAGGTGTACAATTCTACAATGCTCTCATCGATGAGCTTATTGCTAATGGTAAACTAATCATGAAAATTAACTATTTTATTTTTTGAAAGAATTAATTCAAACAAAAAACTGTTTTACACTTTGTGTTACATTGGAGTTAAAAAAATGTTAGTTAACTTAACTCTGAAAATTAACTATTTGATATACGTTAAAGTATCTTATTTTGAACAAACATTTTAGAGTATCTTATTTTGAACAAACATATATGTGCAGGCATTCAACCTTCGATGTCCCTCTATCATTGGGATCATCCTCAAGCTCTGGAGGATGAGTATGGTGGCTTTCTAAGCCCTCAAATAATGTAAGTCGACGTAACAAAATACTCATAGGCATATCCAGTTAACTATATTAGTCTACCACTGATTTGCACGATAACATTTATTGATGATTTTAAGTTTAACTCTTAAAACAGAGAAGATTTTCGAGATTTTTCAAGAGTGTGTTTTGAAGAATTCGGAGACAGAGTTAAGATGTGGACTACTATAAACGAGCCTTACATCATAACTGTTGCGGGCTATGATACGGGCAACAAAGCAGTTGGACGTTGCTCGAAATGGGTGAATAGTCAGTGTCAAGCTGGTGATTCCGCTACCGAGCCTTATATTGCATCACATCATCTTCTTCTTGCTCATGCCGCAGCTGTACAAGAGTTCCGGAAATGTAACAAGGTGCATATACATAAGCTATTATTTGAATAGTGTACATTTGATTAATTTTCTTTAATTTTTTAATTAATTAAAATGATATATGTGACAGACTTCACAAGACGGTCAGATTGGGATAGTGTTATCACCGTTGTGGTTTGAGCCTTATGACTCCACTTCTCTTGACGATAAGGAAGCTGTTAATCGAGCTCTTGCCATTGAACTAGATTGGTAAGTTGTTGTTATAAGCTTTATATCAAATGCAAAACAGTCAATGTATATCTTCTTGTAAATCATTAGATACTTATTAATCGAATATGTATTTTAGGCATTTAGATCCAGTTATCCACGGAGATTATCCAGAAACACTGAAGAAACAAATCGGGAAGAGATTACCATCTTTCACCGTAGAACAATCCAGAATGTTAAAAAACTCATCTGATTTCATTGGAGTAAACTATTATACCGCACGCTATATTGCTCATCTTCCTCACGTTGATCCTGCACGACCTCGATTCAAGACTGATCAACAGTTAGAATGGAGAGGTAAGAATGCGACCTTTAATATCAGTTATGATATATTTAGTGATTTGTAACTCATGAACTATTTTTTCTGCCTGTTTTAACAGTAACAAATCACAGTAATCACAAAATGGGACCAGAGGTATGCACATGCTTTGTAAAACTACTAATAAAAAGAGTATAAATATTAACTAAGATTCTAAGAGTATTGATGTTTCAATGGTCACACAGGAAGATCGAGGCATACTTCACTCAGTACCAGAAGGTTTACGAAAAGTTCTTAACTACATCAAAGATAAATACAACAACCCTACAGTCTATATAAAAGAGAACGGTGAGAATCTTTGTTTAGATTTTTTTTTTCTTTTAATAAAAAATAAAGAAATCTGACGTTGTTAACTTTCATTTTCTGTGATTTTTATAGGAATTAATGACTACGACGACGGTACAAAATCACGAGAGGATATTCTCAACGATACATTCAGGATAAAGTACCATGAGGACCATCTTGAACAACTCCACAAAGCTATAATGTAAATAGTGGTCCATAATTTATTATAAATTGATTTAAAATAAACATTTGTATATATTAATAATACATATATGTACACATATCATATTACCAATTCACCAAAAATCATTTAATAATTAATCATATAAAATATAGTGTTTCTTTCGAAAGTTATCGATAAAAATAATTGGACATGTAACTGCAAAAAGAAAGTTTGTCGTTTGATAATTTCATTAACAATTTGTGAATATTTTTTTTTATTGTTATAACAGGGAGGATGGTTGTGACGTCAGAGGATATTACGCGTGGTCTCTACTAGATAATTTTGAGTGGGAGCATGGATATTCTACAAGGTTCGGTCTGTACTATGTTGACTACGACAATAATCTCGAGCGGTATCCCAAAGATTCCGTTAATTGGTTCAAACAATTTCTCAGTAGAGTTGGCATAAAGAGTGGTCAAGAAAGAGAGGAAGAACAAGTATGGGATGTGTCAAGTGAGAGGTCAAGTCAGGAAAAGAATAAGACTCTTGACGATCCAGAAGGTTTCGAGGCGTCCGTTAGCACTATTATGTATCTCATGACTAACACATCGAGGAGAAAAGAAGAGAGGGATCGTTGCACTTTGGATATTCCTTATAATCGGTTGGCTTTGTTGTTGGGTTACGATGCTTCTTTTGGACCCTAGAAAAACATTTTGTGGATTAAAACCAAATCAGATTCTTTTTTTTTTAGTATTCAATGGAAATTGCCTCTATGTGGAAAGAAATTATTGGATAATATGGAAATAACAAAAAAAAAAATGATACGTACGTTAAGTGATCTTGAAATATTTGTTTGTTTTCTCTTAAAAATAATGAGCAATGGTTTATGGCTTTATGCGTACGTATAAAAGGCTAAAAGCTCGTACGTACTCATATACTGAGTTTTTCTTTTGATGAATAACTATTAAATTGTTAGTGTTGATAGCATTTTCGTCGCAAAACATTAGTAGTCAAACTGATTTTCCGCTAATTTAAGAATATGAGAACATCATTATTCATAGTGTCTCACTGATTTTTTCATATATACAATAATACAAGATTAATATTTATTTTCAATAATCGATCTGTTTTAATTAATATTTTCTGATTTAATTTAGATTAATTGATAACTTAAACGACCAACTCTAAACGCAGTTATTAAGTACTCTTATAGTTCACAGTAGTTTGCATGATTTGTTTAATAATTGAGAAAATGCAACTTCATTAATTCTTATTATATTGAGTATTTGATATCAAAGATTCGTCGGTTTTTTTTTTGTTTGCTAAACTCGTGGGTTTTTTTTTCAAAGTGAGAAGAGATGAGATTTGTGTTGTCGTTACAAACAATGCCCTTTCTTTACGTGTATATATAGAGCGTAGTCTCGTGACGTTGATCTACGTGGAAGTGTATACCCGTGTTCCTGATTCCATAGGAATTCCGAATAATCGATATGCTTTTTGAATTTTAGTAACTAAACTTTTATTTTCACATCTACTAAAATATAAAAATATACTTCTATAACATATGTTTTATATGTAAGTAAAAAAACATACATCTATCATGATCTATATGCAACTAAATATTCAACTACAGGTGGTTAGTTGATATTGGATGTTACATCTGTGGCCATGACTTCATCGAAGTACGTAATAGGGGTATCGTCAGCTTTTTGGAATGAAAGTTGTAAGCGTTCTAGAGAGTTTTACATGCAAAAAGAGTTTTTGACCATAAGGATATACACTTCCACGTAGATCAATGTCACGAGACTAGGCTCTATATATTCTTAGAGAAGCGCATTGTTTTTAACGACTACAAATCACATCTCTTCTCACTGAAAAAAAAACAAGAATATTTGATATCAAATACCAAAATAATAAGTATGAAATTGCATTTTCTCATTATGAAGTTGCATTTTCTCATCCTCCTTTTGATAACGACGTGGTTTACAAAAGACGGTACTTCTCTTTCTCCTGAATCTGGACTGCTTGATAGAAGTGATTTTCCAGATGATTTCATTTTCGGAACTGCAACGTCGGCCTTTCAGGTAATTTGAGATTGTAACTGTAAGAGCATGTACATGAAATGAATCCTAAGAGGGTTCATCTTTGTAATATTTTATTATTATTTTTTTGTCAAATTTTTTTAAAAAAAAAAAAAATTAATTGAACGAATCCCCTTCCGACACGTGGTGAACTCCATCCTCTTGGAGTTCACCGGGATGAACTTTTGAAGAGAGAAGTTCATCACTGTTCATCTATAAAACTGTATGAATCCCTTTATAAACCTCTTACGAACCCTCAATGTACATGTTCTAAGTCTGTAACATACATTAAAAATGAAGAGAGTATATGAAATGACTAGTGAAGTTTATATCGCTTGTTTTGCTGTGTCCTGTGGGTCGTTCAGCTTATGATAATATATGGTTGCTTTCTTGGTTGGCATCTGATACAATTGGTGCGTAATGCATGCTGTAGTCTGTTTATTATGTACGGTGACATAAACAAAATGTAAAAATTTAAGGAAAAAAAAGGGTGGAGAATAAAACTATATACGTCAAAGAACTTATTAACTTATAAAACTTTATCCCCACCTCCCAAAAAAAGAAATATATCAATTGCAGTATCTTTAGAGTATCATTAACCCTATAATCAATTTTTATGGGTTTTTTAATTTTATTATTTTTTTATTTATCTGATTAAAAATAAATTTTAAAAATGTATTAATCACAGACTGTCACTTCACTTCACGTATTGAAGTATCGGTGAGACCTACAAATAGTGTAAAAAATCAAAAGTATTTGCATTCTACACATAAGCTTTATATCATAATTCACCCCATACCCTATTTATTTATTTATTTCTCCTCCCCACACATAACTACTTTCCCCACCAAAATATGGTAAATCCCTAATTTCCTATTTTGTTAAGTATTTCTACCCAATTCACTCAAAAATCAACTACAATCGATTCTTATTTGGTTAGTTTTGTAACCGGTGTTCTATTTGTTTGTGGAACACACACTATATCCTATTATGATTTTGTTAAGGATCTTTCATAATTACCTCTCGATAACCGTGTTTTTAGAGTATGATTAATCTCAGGTTCTTAAGGTGAGATTTTTAGCAGAAGTTAAAAAGTTGTTTCTTAACTTTTAACTAAAAACACTAAGAACCAGTTCTTAAATAAAGACTTTAAGAACTGATTATTAGCGTTTTTAGTTAAGAGTTAAGAAACAGTTTCTTAACTTCCGTTAAGAACTCTGTCTTAAGAACACCGAGTTAATTATGGTCTTATATCACCTTTAGAGCACCATTATTGGTAGGCTCCCGTTAGAGTTTTTGACAAAAAGAAATATAATTGAAAAAATTAAAATATGAGAGAAGTGACTAAAAACGTCGCAATCCTAATAGCTGTGAGACATTTTCATGCAAGTTTAAAACCCCATATAACCAAGTGTCATATTCTGGTTCACACATTCTTTAAAAACCAAAAAACATTTAATTACATAATTAACTTTTTTTTTTAAACATTGATATATTGCTGCGTCTATAGTGAACGTTTTTCTGTCTTTAAATTAAGCTTGGTTATTTTTAGCCATTATTGTGATTATTGTGTAGACCGAAGGTGCAACTAGTGAAGGTGGAAAATCGCCAACTATTTGGGATTACTTCAGCCACACTTTTCCAGGTGTTTATTATTTATTGATATTTGCAAAGAGTATTTTCAAATGGTTACTTTAAATTCATATATATTGATGATTATATAGTTTATAGTGATTTGTAAAATTTCGAATTCCAGAAAGAACCAATATGCAGAATGCAGATGTAGCAGTCGACTTTTACCATCGTTATAAGGTATCATAATTTTGGTCCTTTGATGTCAAACTTTTTTAAAGCTCGATAAAGAGTTATATTTCATATTGTGGATCCTTTTAGTACATTAATTTTGGTCGTTGGATGTTCGTCATTACTTAAGTGCTAAAAAAATTATGAAACCAGGATGATATCAAGTTGCTGAAAGATCTAAATATGGACTCTTTCAGATTTTCAATTTCGTGGGCTAGGTTAATACCCAGTAAGTAATTTACGTTATTTTTTCCTCAGGAATTTCTTAATTAATATTTACTCAGACTATATCTTTAATTTAAAGGTGGAAAGGTAAAGGATGGAGTAAATAAAGAAGGTTTACAGTTCTATAACGCTCTCATCGACGAACTTCTTGCTAATGGTATAATATCAATTCATTAACTAAATCTAATAAATTAACTAAACTAGAGGTATAGGTTATGACATATTATACGATTTGGTGGGGAAAATATGTAGGCATTCAACCTTCGGTAACTCTCTATCACTGGGACCATCCTCAATCTCTCGAGGACGAGTATGATGGTTTCTTAAGCCCTCAAATAGTGTAAGAAACTAAACCAAATATAAACATACAAAATCAACTAATTTAATTGATTCTTATGTTCTTTGCATACATATAAAAGAAACTATAACTAAGAAATTTTTAAAATTCGATAAATCAGAGAAGATTTTCGAAATTTTGCAAGAGTTTGTTTTGAAAACTTCGGAGATAGAGTTAAGATGTGGACAACTATAAATGAACCATCCGTTATAAGTCTTGCGGGGTATGATGCGGGAAACAAAGCGGTCGGAAGATGCTCGAAATGGGTGAATAATAAGTGTCAAGCCGGTGACTCGGCCACCGAGCCTTACATTGTATCACATCATCTTCTTCTTTCTCATGCAGCGGCAGTACAAGAGTTCCGAAAGTGTACCAAGGTGTGTGTGTATACGTAGAAGTTCATTAAAAATATAAATATTTTATGGAGAACTAACTTTAGAGTAGCACCTAAAACTTCTTATTGCAAAATAGTACAAAGAATATGTAACAAGGGGGATGATTGGTTAGGCTTTAACTAGTGACTTTAGTTTTATTTTCTATATACAATCATATAAATCACCAATCATGTTTTAACTAGTTTTTAAAGCTAAAGTTAAAATTTTTTAAAAATGGTTGTAGGAGCCTCATTTTCTAAATAAAAAAAAATACTGATGTAGGATTGCTGTAGGAATATCTTTATTTTTTCTCTTTTTTCTCATTTAATTTCTACAGCTACATTAGATACTGCTACATCCAAAATTTCTATAGACTAATTTCTACAATAAAATTTCTATAGTTACAGTCCAATCAATCACCCCCAAAGTGTGTATACATAGAAATTCATTAAAATCTATATATTTTATAGAGAAATAAATTAGAATAGCATCTAAACAACATTTTTTCCTCCAAAATAGTAGAGAAGAAGATGAACATTCGTAAAATAACATTAGTACAAATTTAAAAAGGATTTTGTTTTATATTTGAGCTTATTTTTATTAATTAAAGTTTAGGATTTAGTATTCATAAATAGGAACAAAATAAAAAATTTAACGTTTAGAATAATTTAGTCATTTTATTGTTTAATTCGTGCTATTTTAGAAGAAGAAAAATCTCCATGGGCTGTTTTTGTCATTATAAATTTTCTTTGGGCTATCTAAGCCATTTGCTCGATTTTATATATGAGGTCTACTATTTTTATTCAGAAAAAAAAAAATCTTATGACAGACTTCAAAAGATGGTAAGATTGGGATTGTGATATCGCCTCCGTGGTTTGAGCCTGACGATTATTCATCTCCTGCTGACAAACATGCTGTTGAACGAAGCCTTGCCGTAGAAGTAGATTGGTACGTTATAATTTACAAACGCATGATTTTTTTTACATATATTATAAAATTGTTTTATCTTTACAATGTATATGTATTAGGCATTTAGATCCAGTGGTTTACGGAGATTATCCTAAAATCATGAAAAAATACGTTGGTAGTAGATTACCTTCTTTCACAACAGAACAATCAAAAATGTTGAGAAATTCCTCGGACTTCATTGGAATAAACTATTATACTGCACGCTTCGTCGCTCATCGTCCTCACATTGAACCTAGGCGACCTCGTGTCAGGACTGATCATCAATTTGAGAGGAAAGGTAAAAATGCTAATTGAAAATAAAGCTAAAATATAACGTTTATTGAGTAGTTAAATTCAGGTGAAACTCGTAACCTAATCTTAATATTTTTTATAATTTTTGTGAGCAGAAAGAAATCATAGTAACCACCTAATCGGACCAGGGGTATGTTTTAGTTGAATATTTATATAAGAAAATAGAATAGTTCACCAACATTCTAAGGATATTCATTTTGCAACATAGGAAGGTCGAGTCGTACTCTATCACTCGTACCCGGAAGGTTTTCGAAGACTTCTCAACTACGTCAAAGATAAATACAATAATCCTATCGTCTATATAAAAGAGAACGGTGAGAAAAACAGTTTGATATCTTATAACAGCGTAAATACATTTGAGCTATTATTCGTTAAATTGAACTTACTATTATTTGTTACTGTAACAAAAAAAATATTATTTGGTTTGTTTTATTAACGTAATTTTTTTTGTAGGAATTAATGACTATGATGACGGTACAAAATCACGAGATGAGATTCTCAACGATACCTTTAGGATAAGCTATCATAGAGACCACCTTCAACAACTCCATAGAGCTATAATGTAAACTCTGGTCCACAGGTTTTATATATCAAAAATCGTATTGTATTAGACTGCAAATAGGTATGTTTTTAGTAGTTATATTATGTGCGTTTATATATAGATATATGGTCAAAAATCATTGTATTAGACTGCAAATAGGTATGTTTTTAGTAGTTATATTATGTGCGTTTATATATATATATGGTCAAAAATCATTGTGAAACTGTAAAACGCAATTGGACTTATTGTTTTGTTTACGTTTTGCAATTTCCAAACGATATTTGATAATTATCTTCTGAAAATCAACAGTAAACACATTAATTCAGGGCATACTCACTTAAACCCGCTATCTTTATGAAAAATAAAATAATATTTTTTCCTATGATTTACAAGTCATATATCGATCCATTAACCAAACATTGGTCTTATATGATTTAAAATATTTTTATTTGTTATAACAGAGATGATGGATGTGACGTCAGAGGATACTACACGTGGTCGTTACTAGACAACTTTGAGTGGGAGCATGGATACGCTGCTAGATTCGGTCTTTACTACGTTGACCGAAAAAACGATCTCAAACGGTATCCTAAAGATTCCGTCAACTGGTTCAAACAGTTTCTCAATAGACCGGTTACAAAAAGTGAAGAAGAAGATAATGAAGAAGGTTGGAAGGTGTCACGTGAGGAAGAAAATAAGACTTTGGATGACACAGTAGGTTCCGAGACATCGTTTGATTTTATTTTAAATCTCATAACAAATGGATCGAGAATAGAAGAAGAGGGGAGAGATCTCTGCGCTTTTGAGAAGCCTAATGATCAGTTTGGTGTTTTCTTGGGGCGGCAAAGCTCTTTGGAGCTCTAGACAACCTTTTTGTGAGCAGACTTTTTAGACTTTCAACTTGTGATGTTTTTGCCTGATCTATCTATATTACCAATAAGCGGGAAATCACATGTATTCGTGATTATGTATTGTAATCACATGTAAGCGCATATGTTCTTTTGTTCGTGTTTGTACTTTGACAGTGATCAATCCTCTGAGATTTTGAAACAAAAAGAGGCCAAACACAGATGATGACCAAAACAAAAACAGATACTAGTTATCAGGTCTCTTGAGATTGTAGAAATTGTTATAGAAATTAATCAAAGTAGATTTTAACCGTATCCCAACAACTACAATAAGTTGAATAATCTTGTAATTTTGCCCAAAAAAGAATAATCTTTTAACTTAAAACGTTAATTTGCCAATATCTAAAAAGAGGGTTAACAATGAAATATGTAATAGATGGGAATCGAAACCCTAACCTAAACCAACATGAAATTCAACATCACTAGATCAATGAAATTCAAAATCACTTAGATCAATGATCTTTTTATATAGTTTTATCGAATCAACTAAATTGGATATATATATATTTTTTTTTTTGGCACAAAATTGGATATATAATCTATAAGAAACCTATTTTATGGATATAATATTTTGCAAATAAGTTATTTACATATATATATATATATATATATTTGATTTTTGAGTCTTCGATTTTTGCAAATAAGTTATTATTAAAAATTTTCTGTTTTCTTTTTGATTCTTTTTTTTAAAAAAAAAATAAAAAAAAAAGTTCTAGACCAATCCCGAGCCGCCACGTGTTGAACCTCAGGAGAGAGGGGTTCACCGCAGTGAACTTTAGGAGAGAGGGGTTCATAGATTTTTATTATTTTATTATTTTTTTTTCTTGATTTCCGTGTGAACTCCCCCCATGAACCTTCAATGGGGATGCTCTTAATTTGGAGTTGAAGCCATTATGAATACAACAACAATACACGAGGGATGAAACTGATCACGTAACACTATTATAGTATTATTGCATGCACCAACCAGCCTGGAGCTGTTTCGTAATTGTCTTATCTTATATATTCGCCGACAGATTTGACCGGTTTGGAGCCACATCACCATCAAGACTGCTTCTACTCTGTCAAGTTACAAGCGGATTCCGCCAAGACAGATCGACGACAAAGTCAATAAACATACGCCGTTGACAATGACAGTTCACGCACCTCTTTGAAAATTACCGTTATGCCCTCTTTTCCTCAGTCTCTCATGAATGATTCAAAGTCAACGACGTTGCTACCGCCTCTGAGGCTCTGACCCAACGATCTCTCTCGTGTTTTTCTCTAAAAGAGAGTCCATTTTGAGCTTACAAGATAATATAAAAACTGAGTGAGAGCATCAACTGGTAGACCATACATGAGCATCAATATATGGATTATGAAGTGAAGATAAGCTGAAATTTGCTGCAATTAAGGGTAGATCATACATGAGCATCAACTGCATTTCTTTTATAAAAAATTTGGCAACGCATTTCTTTAATTATAAATGGATTATGGACGAATATTATTACAACAGGAGTGGCCATATTATAAAACAATGCGTCCTTAATCAACTAGATCGGTAATGGACAAGTTTTTTTTTTTATTTTCTTAAAGAAATATATTAAAATTTTGCATGTATTCTGAAAAAAATTGAAGTTGACCGGCCATGTTGATATTTTATATAAGCAAAGGAGGAAACGGTCTGCAATAGGATTCAATCCATTCGATATTTTAAAACAATAATGCTGCATAAAGAAACATTTATAACCCCACTTTGACTTCTCAATTCTACGTATCTCAATCACGCATTTATATATCATATCACTTTGAAGGCGCTTCTCAAGATCTATAGCCAGAGAAGGTTATTTCAAGATCTAGCCTCTTATCACCGTTGTATCTTTCTTCTCCAAGACCAAGCTTTTAGATTCAGACAAGACTAAAACCACCAAAGATGACACAGTGAGTGATCTTTATTTTTCTTTCTAAGTTCTCAATCATTTCAAGATCCATATTTAATTAATGAAATATTTGGACAATCATTAATTTCTTGAAAATTAATCTGCAGTCTTCAAAGAACTTATCCTACATCGATGTCAAAAGGTAGAGCTAGCTTTCCAAAAGGCTTTCTCTTTGGAACTGCCTCTTCTTCTTACCAGGTAAAACAAATCAAGAAACTGAATACAAACCAAAAAAAAAAAAAAATGTAACTTACTTTAGTTTTTGTTTTTTGTTTTGTATTAGTATGAAGGAGCAGTCACTGAAGGTGAGAGAGGTGAAAGTATGTGGGATCATTTCTCCAACAGGTTTCCTCACAGAATCAGTGACCATAGTCACGGCAATGTTGCCGTAGATTTCTTCCATCGTTACAAGGTTCCTTTTCGGTTTCTTGCTCCTTACGGTATTTAGTTACAATATTAAAGATTTTTGATTAATTTCTTGTAACAGGAAGATATCAAGAGGATGAAAGATATAAACATGGATTCTTTTAGGCTCTCCATTGCTTGGCCAAGAGTTATACCTTGTAAGTATATTACTGTTTCTGGAACCTTATTTTGTCAACATTATAACAGTTCACTTGTGAAATTTGTAAAACAGATGGCAAAAGGGAGAGAGGAGTTAGTGAAGAAGGGATTAAGTTTTACAATGATGTTATAGATGAACTCCTAGCCAATGAAATCACTCCTCTTGTTACCATCTTTCATTGGGACACTCCTCAGGATCTTGAAGATGAATATGGTGGTTTTCTTAGCGAGCAGATTATGTAAGATATTTTGAATTTCAAATATTTTTTATATGGTGGATGAATGTATCCGTTCAAGAGATTCATATTAGGTTATGTGTAAATACAGAGATGACTTTAGAGACTATGCGAGTCTCTGCTTCGAGAGGTTTGGGGATAGAGTGAATCTATGGTGCACACTGAATGAGCCATGGGTGTACAGTGTGGCTGGTTATGACACAGGGAGAAAAGCTCCAGGACGATGCTCAAAGTATGTAAATGGAGCTAGTGTTGCTGGAATGTCCGGATACGAGGCCTACATCGTGAGCCATAACTTGCTTCTAGCGCACGCAGAAGCAGTGCAAGTGTTCAGAAAATGTGACCATGTAAGTAGACTTTCTATAAATAGAACAAAAATCACTTTCCATTTTAGTTACCTGATTTGAATTCTATGCAGATTAAAAATGGACAAATAGGAATTGCGCATAACCCTCTTTGGTATGAGCCTTATGATCCAAGTGATCCTGATGATGTAGAAGGATGTAACCGAGCTATGGACTTCATGATTGGTTGGTAAGTGAGATTCAAAATTAGACATGAGTTAGTCTTTTTTTAGTGTCAGACCGTTTTTGATTTGTCTTGCTGTTTCATACAGGCATCATCATCCGACAGTGTATGGAGACTATCCAGACACGATGAAGAAATCAGTAGGAGATCGTTTACCAAGTTTCACACCAGAACAATCCAAGAAGCTGATAGGCTCTTGTGATTACGTTGGTATAAACTATTACAGCTCACTTTTCGTGAAGAGTATCAAATACGTGGATCCTACGCAACCTACTTGGAGAACTGATCAAGGAGTAGACTGGATGAGTNTGGAGACTATCCAGACACGATGAAGAAATCAGTAGGAGATCGTTTACCAAGTTTCACACCAGAACAATCCAAGAAGCTGATAGGCTCTTGTGATTACGTTGGTATAAACTATTACAGCTCACTTTTCGTGAAGAGTATCAAATACGTGGATCCTACGCAACCTACTTGGAGAACTGATCAAGGAGTAGACTGGATGAGTATGGCTCTTAATGATTATAATAATAATAAATTATGATAATGATGGAATCTTTGTGACTAACTTATGTCATGTTGCAGAAACAAACATAGATGGGAAACAAATAGCGAAACAAGGAGGATCAGAGTGGAGTTTTACATATCCAACAGGACTCAGAAACGTTCTAAAGTATATGAAGAAACACTATGACAATCCTAGGATTCTCATAACCGAGAACGGTATAAACATCTTTTACGTGAGTAAGTTGCATGTGTCCTCTGTTTCTATATAGATCTCTCATGCAACATTGTTTATGATAATCTCAGGGTATGGTGAAGTAGCTGAACAGAGTCAGAGTTTGTTTATGTATAACCCTTCAATCGACACAGAGAGATTGGAATACATAGAAGGACACATTCATGCCATTCATCAAGCTATTCAGTAAGCAATACTTATGTGTAGGGAATGATGAGAGTAGAAAATTGGAAGAATTGTATATTGACTCTCATAAGAATTTTGATTAAGTTACATACATATTTATACTAGAGATATTACCTAATCTAGATATTAGAAATATATGTAAGTATCTTATCTAATAAATATACAAAATTTTGTTATTAATATTGTAATATTCTATGTGTTTAGGTTGTTTAGTCACTTATATGTGTTTCTTTGCATTTATATTAACAGCGAAGATGGAGTTAGAGTGGAAGGCTATTACGTATGGTCATTGCTTGATAACTTTGAGTGGAACAGTGGATATGGTGTGAGATACGGTTTGTATTATATTGATTACAAAGATGGGCTTAGAAGATACCCGAAAATGTCGGCTTTGTGGTTGAAAGAGTTCTTGAAGTTTAATCAAGAAGATGAGTCTTCTTCTTCTTCAGAGTCTAAGAAGGAAGAGAAGAAGGAGAGCTATGGAAAGCAGCTGTTGCATTCGGTTCAAGACAGTGGTGCGTTACCAGCGGTTTTGGGGAGCTTGTTCGTTGTTACTGCAACGGTTGGTACTTCTCTGTTCTTCAAGGGATCCAATAATTGAAACAGAATGTTAGAAAAAAAATCCTATAATAATTGTTGCAAAATTGTTGAAGATAAAGAGTATGCTATGATTTGTAAACATTCTTTGTGATTGTTCAGTGTTATTGTGAATTTGTTTTGATCTATAAGAGATTTTTACCATATGATTATTATTATCCTGTTTCAAAATATATTTGTGATATTT